AAGTTATGCCATATTAGGAATTTAAACTGGGGGTTAACGAACACAAGCTTATGTTATCTTGGGGGTCGTGGCTCAAAAAGTTTGAGAACCACTGCTCGAATGCATGATAGACAATCAAATGTGTGATATGTGTTCATCTGAAGTGTGTATTTGTGATCGTGTCTTGTAGAAGGATCCCTTATTCCAGCAGTTTGTCATCCTGGTGTCTGTGGAGGGTTTGGAGAACAAATACAACCTGGAGCTGAACCGAGGTGAGCGTGCGTCGATGTGACTTCGTCTCATGCTGGAAGCAGTTCAGGTATTTGTTATTTACTGTGGCGTGTGTTTGTTACTGTAGACTGGAAGGTGCTGAAGAACAGAAAGTTCCTGGGGTCCGTCAGCGAGCAAAACATCCGGACGAAGAGCAGGCCGGTGATCCAGGAGCTGCAGCCTCAGTACGTCCCTCTGAATGCACTGGAAGACACACTGAGTCTAGTCTGTGGCAGGGCTCCTGTCCAGACAAGTAGGTCTGAGTCTCTGAGGGCCCTGATGTGGTTGCTGTGGTTTGTTCTTCGTGGGGGGCTGTGGTGCGACGTAGGAGGTCCACAACAAGATGGGGGGATTGTTAGTCATTCATCAAGTGAAGTGAAAGTGAGTTCATGATTTGTGTGGCTTGCTGAAATGTCCCCCTCTGTGTCCCTTCGTCTGCAGGGACAACTCTGCCGCGACGCCCAGAAGGTGAGACTCTTCTGATTGTAACTGCTTTTTATAGCTTACAGTGTGAGTAAGTGGAGCAACATGCTGACATATTTTGTCAATGTGCCCAGACCAGAGTTCACGCTGCTGGTGGAGCCCTCTGCTGGTGATCCAGAGTACCTCATTGCAGAAATAAAGCTTCCTGGAGTGGTAAGAGTTTCAGTACATATACATACTTAACTCCACTCCTTTCCTCTCCTTTCTTTTTCTCTCTCTCTTTCCTATTGTCTGTCTTAAATACAGATGTGATCCATTTAAACTGTCCTGTTGGGGAAGTATGACTTCCAAGCAGCATGTGAAAAGGCCTCATTACATAATAGATGTTTAGTGTACAGTCACTTTATTAGGTACAACTAATGTGTTTTTGTGAGGTGTGTGAATTGCTGCAGCTTCCAGTGCCCAGCTTTATGATGTTACGAAGGGGCTGTAAACCGTTTACACTGTCTTGCATTGAGGAGTGGCTCGTACCAGCACTACTGCTTCATCACAGCAGGAAGCGCATCAGTTTAAACCAGTAACATCTGTGACTACGATGGACGGGGCTCAGCACACAGTCAGCTTCTACAACCGCTGTGGCACATCGCTCTATGAGAAGTGTGTATATTAGTAGTTCAACAGTGTAATTTGTATATCATAGAGTCCAGACTGAGATTTCCACCCACTTTTATTCCATCCAGGGTAAAAAAGCTTCTGACGTAACACTTCAGAGGCCCTGAAAGGACACTAGTTCTATCCTTTATGATCCAGCCCAACACTGGTGACAATAATGATGATATTTCTGTCGCTGGTTTTGATATTAGCAGAATTAACAAAGTGCTTTCAAAGGGCACAAAAGAGCACAGCGACGGTGTGAAACCAAAAATAAAAAAGCATCTCATGTAACTGTGCAGCCGTCGTCCCGCTCTCTGGTTCTGGACGTTGGAGAGGACCGACTGGTGCTGATGGCTCGGCCCTCGTTGTTCCACCTCGACATCTTCCACCCGTTTCTCATCGACCAGGAGAACAGCGTGGCGCAGTACAACAGCAGCACGCAGGTACGAAGTGTTCACGCTGCACACGAGGAGGCACAAACTCTAAGAGTGATAAACCACACTGTACAAAAACACTACAGCATTATGATAGAGGCAGTTTATACGTGATGGTATCAACAGACTATACAATAGAGCAGGGGTAAGACACACTCGTAGTAGAATTGTGCAGCATCGAAACAGAAAGTAGATGCACATATGGCACAATGTACAACACCAGCGCAGCTTTATTTGTATTCAACAAACACGTAAACAAAATGTGTCTTAACATACTGTACATGTTTTCTTTCTTACAGATTCTCACAGTCACTATGCCCGTGGTGTCCTCATGAAACTACAGAAGAAATGTGCAGTTATTTATTTTTTCTTTATAAAAAAAAGATGCTATGATAATAAACTTTTTTTTTTTTTTTAATATAAAGTTGTGTTTCTTAGTTATTTATTACTTCAGTCCTCGTTCATCAGAACAATAGCAGCAGGTCCTCAAGTCTGTAAAGTTATGGAGCTTCTGATTTATCTGAATTTGTTTTTCTTCTTTGGTCTCTAATACAGATATTAGATTCACTGTCGGGTAGTTAGTGTCTTCAGATTTTATTGTGTGGCGTTTTGGAGTATTGGTTTGTGTTAATGGATGACTGATGATGACACAAACCTGGAGTGAGTCGTTGCCCCAAAGCAGCAATGATCAAAGAAAATCGCTCGACTGCACTCATTGGGATGTATTTGGAATATCTTTGACTCTTAGATGTAGTCAGTCCTGCCGGAAGGAGAATTTTAACGTCTTCATGAAATATCTTGTGTAGAAACAGAATCGCTGTTATTCTGTGATACACCTTCTCTTTAGTCAAAGGTTCTTTGGAGGTCTTTCTGTGGACTTTAAACCTTCCCTATCATGGAAAAACGTGAACGAATGAAGCAGTCACATCTCTATTTCTGGATCTGCTCTGGCTAACCCGTCCGTCCTCTTTTATCTCTCTCCTCCAACTGAGAATCCACATCTGTTCAGCTTGTTCCACTCTCGTGCTTCTCTCTGGCCGTGGAGTGGAGGAGGGGTTAAAACCATTCGTTTTGTCCCACAAGCAGTGACTGGCATATCGAGAACATACATGGTCAGCAAGCGTCTATCACTTGTAAACAGAGAGCAGCAATTCAGTTTATAAGAACTGTGGGAAAAGAAAAATCAAGAGATAAGTGGGCCATGATTCCCAGGAAGTGTTCTGGCTGAAACCACCCAGTCTTTTAGTTTAAACACGATGAAGTAACTCTCAATAACAGAACATCTATTGTCTGTTTGTCAAGAGAAACTTGTCATCGATGAAGCCAGGGAGGTCTGTCTGTTTTTCTTTTAGCCTCTTTAAGTCATTCTGGGTTAAATGTCCTAAACTTCACTGTCTCATGTCAGTCTCAGAGGCCTCATTAACACATCTGTTTAATGCAGAAACATCTGTTTTCAAGAAGCAGGACGCTCATTAATGCAATGAAGCATTTAGCCGCTACAAAGCAGGAGGTTTGTTGTTTGTTTATAAGCTGGCAGAAACCACAGCAGAACCAAAGACTCATCAAGATTACAGATTGCTTAAAGATTCCTATCAGTTAGTGATCAGGTTATTATGTGTTTACATGTGGGTCTGTTTCCCGCAAGTCAATTCAACTTCAAGATGCTTAAAGCCTTTTGGCATTGACACATATTCACTGAGTTTGATGGGAACGGAAATTCAGAAACTACGGCCATGTGTGGGTTCAGCCAAGACTGGAAACAGGAGAAGTTAGCTGGTGTGTCCAAAAATATAGTAATAAAAAGAAAGAAAAAACCCCAAAACATTCAGTGACCCTTAGGGGCTCCAGAAGGGAGATTTTCTCATCTGCAGACAGAGCCATGCTCGCTGGCTTTGTGCTAAGCTAAACAGCTAGCTCTAAACAAGAAGGCTAATAAACATATCAACTGAAGTCACATTTAAGACAACAAATGTAGAGCCAGAGTGCTTTTCACTTGCAAATGACAAATTTAAATGTTATTGTGTTATACAGTCGTGTCTTGATAATCCGACACTAAATGTAAAACCTTCTTTTATGTCGGATTGTCAAGACGGAGGTCGAGATACAAGGAGGGCTTGATGCTGGAAGGATCATTTGTTGTTAATTATTGTTTATAGTTGTTATAATAACGAGTGTATTGTTAGAACACTACGCATCGCTGGATTTCATGGCTAATTGACCGGTGCGATTGTGTGCGTTCCAGCCACTTCCACCCCGGGGCAGCGCTCCAACGGGGTGGAAGTGGTCAGAACACACAGGCAGTACTTGGCTGCTGATGCCAGTTTAGTTAGCGCTCACACTTCTGTTTCCACCATTGGTGGCGGTGGAGGAGTGGAAGATACGCTCCATCATTACCATCCATGTTTACTTCCGCAAACACTGAGCATGCTCGCTGCGTGAGACGTTGTCGTGTCCTCTTCTGCGCATGCGGGACACTTTTGGGTCGTATGAAGTTCACACAGCAGATCACATACAAGTCGCATTTAATTGGAAATGTGAACAAACTCACAAAAAAATCCGAATTGAGCATTAAGTCCTGCAGTGTGAACGTAGCCAATCTGTGGGATTGTTCAGTCAGATAATACGCCGTTATCCTGATTGGTGACATAAAATGTCATGTCGGAGTCAGAATCCAAGGCTGTCGCTATGTTAAGGCTGTTTTTAATGGACCGGTTGATGGAACTAGTCGCCACAAATCAGACTTGTACACCTTCAAAACCAGAAATACCTGCAGATAGGTAGAGGGACAGAGAGGAGGAGGAGGAAGTGAGAACAGTCATACAGAACTCAAGTGTAAACACACATGAAGGCAACCATGTGGAAAGAATCGCTGAGGTGCTTGATTCAAAAGAGGAAACGAGGAAACCGCAAAAGCAGCCAACCGATTAATATGAAACAGAAGGGCAATAAAACGAAAGTGAGAGTGGATTTGACTTCAGGAAGACTAAAAGTAAGAGAAAAAAGATGGTACTTGAATTTATAAAAAGTAAAATCTCTTATTTTGAAGATGTCAGAACTCTGATGATCATCATTGTTCTTGCAGGAACAACTGATTCAGTATTTAGTTGTAGTTCATAGTCCTCCATCTTTCTTCCTTCATTTGTCTGGGCGGCTGTGGCTCAGGTGGTTGAGCGGGTTGTCCTCCAATCACAAGGCTGGTGGGTCGATCCACGTCACAGTCGAAGTGTCCTTGGGCAAGACGCTGAACCTTAAGTTGCTCCCAGTGGCAGGCAGCACCTTGCATGGCAGCCCTGTCACCATTGGTGTGTGAATGAGAAACACATTGTAAAGCGCTTTGAATAAAAGCGCTACATAAGTGCAGGCCATTTCTAACTGATTATCCCCCATACAGCTTCTTCCTTGTGGTCATCCATCCCTTCCTCTGTTTTGTCAGACCCCACTAACCGCCTCTCCTCCTTATGTACTTACCTCAGTTTGTCAGTGTTAATGAAGTACCCATTGTCTTTTCACAAATAGCCTCTCCTCTTTCGCCCGGCTCGTTGTGCCAGCTCTCTGCCCCGTCCATCCGTCGCGCCCTCCCTCTTGGGTTCGTCCGTCGTGCCCCCTCTCCACCTGCCCCGCGGCATCCCTCCATTTGTCCGGTGAGGTCATCCCTCTGTTCCCCCTAATCCTGCGAGGTGCTCATCTTTCTGCCTCCGCTTAATCCGCCTGTGGCCTCCAGCCCTGAACACACACACACACATCTGCACGTTGCACACTCAGACTTGCAGTTATTCCTGTATTGTATACTCAGAGACTCAGTAATTCTCGCAGCATGCATACACACATTGTGATTCAGATCGCGGGCGCACACACACACATACAAAATGCCCCCCCACCTCTCTGTATAAAACTGCCCCCGTCTCTGTACAATAGCCATTCTGTCTGTCCTCGTCCCTCTGTCCGTCTGCTGATACCACACCTTCGTTCAGGTACGTCTGTCTGTCTTTTCATCTGATGTGTATCAATAACAAAATAGCTCAAACTAGAATAATTAGGATTTTGGCCGGCCGGCCTTTAGGTTCTATTTATTTCACTACGGCGTCATCACAGTGGACACTTTGCTCTTTTTAGTTCGATGATGCTACAGACTGGATTTTATAGCGAAACCTTAAAAGTATCCATGTCTGCTTAGCACACTGCTTCACAGCGACAGACTTAAATCTTATGAGCATCCCTGAAGGCATCACCAAGGAGGTATTTCTTTAACAAAAACTAAACAAGTCTCAGAAAGTTTGTTTCCCACCGTAAAATGAATGAAAGTCAACGGCTACCTCGAACACAATGAGTCAAAATCTAATCACTGTGATTGACTGTCAAAACATTTAGCTCTATTTCACCAGGTGATGTGTTGTGATAAGTTGGACACAAAAGTAGTATTGTAACCCCCCCCAGAGTAGTTCAGTGCTCACAGTTTTTTAGATATCTGTTTCTACACCAGCACAATGAAGGTGAATGGGACTTTCATTAGTGTTTAACAGCAACGTTCTCTTCAGGAAAAAAATGTTGTGTTTTGCTGATATTTTTTTCAAATCCAAATTTTCCCACCAAAAAAATCCATTTCCCTCCACTGTATTCAGATGGCAGCAGAAATATTAAAGTTAGATTGGTCCAGAATCTCTACACATAGAGCCAGCAATTGACAAAATGTGTTTGTTTATTTTAGTGAACCAACCCTCCAACTTTTAAGCAGTTTTATAGCCCAGTGGATATACGGGTCAGCCATTATTATTGGCCAATACTGACAGGTTTTTCACGATTGGCGTCCAATTTGTGCCGATGTGAAAACTTTTCTGCTTTTTTTCTAGACCATAATGCAGAAAAACATATGCTTCGGGTTTTCTGGAATTGGTGTCCTCACAAAGTTCGTCAGCTCCGACTCAGTTGTTTACAATATTCACAGCACTTTCTGCAGCACATGCAGCTGAGTGGATGGTGGTGCGGAGTCGAGCGGTGTCTTTACTGTACGTCGCTGAGTAGTTCGTGAACTACATTGCTGTTACGTTCATAAACACTGACACTACTTAATATACAGTATATATAAGGAATAACCTCTAATATATTAATATCTGACTTTATTTACTCCCTACAAAAATCCATATCAACATTGGCCTCAAAAAATATCCAGCATCGATCAGGGTCTGGACTGATTTAGTTTCATCAGTTAGTCTAAAAAGATGCGTCCTTGGGCGGTTGACTGACATGTAGCTGCCTTGTGTGAGCTGTTGTCTTTGAATTAGCCTAGCACGACTGCTAGCAGAACTAGCAGCACACACTTGAATCAATTTCAAACATTTAGAAAGCAATACTCAGTCGCGAGATCCCCACCTGGCCACGTTTGAAGTCCTAAAGACGTCATGTCGGCATTTAGCAAATCGTCAAAAT